GAGGACCAGACCTGAACGGCGAAGCAGGAGAAGAGAAGCGATTTTTGAAGGAGCGATTTTTGAAGGAGCGAGAGCAAAATCGGAGAGAATAACCCTAGCCCAAATCAAGACAGGAGTGCCTTTTTTCCGCATCAAGCAGAGACCGATTTGCTTGGCATCGTGAAGCTTGGCGTTTGATCTCACTATTCTTCTTCAATCTTCATCATCTCCTCCAGATATCATTTAACTCAAGCTTCTCAACAAGGTCGTAATATTCATCCTTAAATTTATCATCGCTTTGTTTGAATGCTTGATAAATACTCTATATTTATGATTTGTCCAGAATTTAATTAATTGAATTCCTAGTTAATAATGAAAGCATGGAATTCGATGGGCTAACACCCTACATGATACGCTTTTCTACTGTATTTTTTTGATTTAATATTTTTTAGGTTGCAGAGTCTAAATTTCAAAAAAGAAGTTGGGAATTGTATGAACCTATATGGTTTTACACAAATCCTTATGAACAATTTCAGCCAAAAATGGTGTCTTTTTCCCTGAAATGGAATTAAGTTCCCCTGAAATTTTGTAGTCTCAACTCCTGAATTGAAGTAGCATATCCATTTTACAGCAAATCAGCAGAATAAAAACAGAATATTTATGATAATGAGGTTCCCCCAATGCATTTTAGTCATGTTTAATAGACAAGGATTAAGTGATTTTCGCTAGCTATATATCTACTCAGTATAATAGTATATGTGAGTGTATATCCATTATCCATTGTTCAGTTTAGCAGTTTCATACTACAATACATAGAGGACTTTTCATGTCCAGCCGGCCTGAAGGGAACCGCCGTCCGGACGAGGGCATTTCGGGAACTTCCCGGTGGAATTTTTTGATGAAATGTTTTGGGCATGTTCTTCATCAAGTCTAGTTTATCCATACCAAATTTCAGCTCAAAATTCGATTGGGAAGGCATTCAAATAATTTTTTGAAGTTGACTGGGTTTTTATATGTATACTTTGACGCAGTCAACTCCAAAAAAATAATTTGAATGCCTTCCCGATCAAATTTTGAGCTGAAATTTGGTATGGATAAACTAGACTTTATGAAGAACATGCTCAAAAAATTTCATCAAAAAATTCTATAGGGAAGTGCCCGAAATGCCCTCGTCCGGACGGCGGTTCCCGTCAGGCCGGCTGGACAAGAAAAGGACTCACAATACATATATGTTAGGGGAATTCTAGAATTCCAGTATGCAATCCTTTGTAGAATAAAGAGAATATATTAGTTTGAGATCTTGAATACCATTAAATTGATAAGTTAGCCATACTCTTCTACCCTAAAGCAGTTGCTCTATGTGAATATTGCGTGTTTCTGAAATAGTCATATTGAGTGAAGTACATCTTATTTTTCGTCAAACCTATCGGGTAGGAGATTCTATGAATCATGAGTGACCACTATAGCCCTAAAAATCATATCCAAATTTGTTTTGAGTAATTAACTAAAGTTATTGCTTGTTGAGTTCATAGTTTTACTTAAACTAAAGTTGACTTAAAACCAGATTTTTTTGAACTAAAAGGTTTCAAGAAATAGGTCTTGGTTTTTGGTCAAGAGTATGTCATAGTGTCCCGCAAACCCACCATGAATTAAAAATCAGTCTAGGCATGAGGCAATTTGCAAACCTATGGTGAAGAAAATGCTTAAAAAATGGTTTTCTTTAGGCAATGTGATCAAGTCCTAGGAAGCTTGTACCAGGTGCTAGGCATGTTTCACCAGGATATTTTTATGGATACTGCACCTTTTATTACTTGTGTAGAAGTATCAGACATAAGTTGCAATTATATGTTGCGTTTTTTCTTGGGCACTTAGAATTTATAATAGGGCATCTAGGCATTCTGAGTACTTGTGTCAGAAGCTAGCAATTTCTGTAAGCATGAATGAACACAATAAAACGGTCTCTCTCATTGATACACGCTTTAGATGATTAGAGTAAAATTTCTTGAAAATCTTTTATTAGGGTTTCAACAACCCATGAAAAATTGATAATGAGGTTTCCTGGATGTGATTTTTGCTAGTTGTATACCTGCTCAGTATAATAGTATGTGTGCAGCAGTTTTTTTAGCTTCTTGGTGTGTAATTAATTGATTAATTAATTAATTTATTAATTATATCACTATACCATTTCCTTATACTAATTACTCTACAGCCTTTCCAATTGAACTATATGATTTGTCTATAATCTTCATTTTTTATGTTTGAGAATTTGATTAATACATTACAGTTGTATTTTTTTCAAAACCATCTTGAATTTAATCACCTAAGTTTCATTGATGGTTATTAAATTTTACTTTTTAAATTTTATTTACCAATGAAACTTATCCCTTATATGACTATAAATTATAGAACATTATTATGGAGTCCAAAAATCGTGAGTGGATGCAGTATAAGAAGAATGATCCCAAGTATAAGGTTGGTGTACAGCAGTTCTTAGAGTTTGCGTTTTCTCACAAGAATGTGCATGATGTGGTGCCTTGTCCTTGTGTGAAGTGCAATAATGAATTGAGGAAAAATAGAGAAGAAATAGAGTTAGATTTGCTTAAATTTGGTATTGTTAGGAGTTATACACGTTGGTTGCGTCATGGGGAGAACACAGAAAGTAGGCCGACTCATAGCAATATTGGACTTCAGCCAACTGAATATCCAGAGTATAATTCATTATTTGAAATGCTACATGATGCATTTGGAATGCCACGGGAAGAAGATATAGGTAATGGAGAAACTAATGTGCATGGCTATGGTGATCCTTTAGAATCTGTTGATAGCTTTTACAAAATTATGGCTGAGCTCAAGTTAGAATTATATCCAGGTTGTAAGAAATTCTCAAAGTTATCCTTCTTGCTTAAGTTATTCCACATAAAATGCTTAGGTGGAATAAGTGATAAAAGTTTGGCCATGCTTCTTGAACTATTTAAAGAAGCATTACCTCAAGGCAACACTTTACCAGATTCTTACTATGATGCTCAAAAAATAATAAAGAGTTTATCTCTTGAATCCATAAAAATTGATGCATGTCCCAACAATTGCATGTTATTCTGGAAGGAATATGCTAGTGCAGAGGAATGTGTAATATGTAATGCTTGTAGATGGAAAGCAAGAGAAAATAATAATGCATCTTCTCCTTTAAAGGCTAAGCAAAGAAAGATTCCATGTAAAACAATGCGTTATTTTCCACTGATTCCTAGACTTCAGAGGATATTTATGTCATCCAAAACAGCTGCAAATATGAGATGGCATCACGACGAACGAGTTGATGATGGGATAATGAGACATCCAGCAGATTCTAAAGCATGGAAAACACTTGATGAACTATCTCCAACATTTGCATCTGATTCCCGAAATGTTCGACTTGGTTTAGCAAGTGATGGGTTTAGCCCCTTTAGAAACGGACATATCACTCATAGTACATGGCCAATAGTTCTTATCCCATATAACTTACCTCCATGGCTTTGCATGAAACAACATTCTTTAATTCTTTCCACACTTGTTCCTGGTCCTACGGGACCTAAGGATAAGATTGATGTTTATCTGCAACCTTTAATAGACGAATTGAAGTTTCTTTGGGAGGTTGGTGTTGAAACATATGATGCTTCAAAGAAAGAGAAATTTAGAATGTTTGCTGCAGTACTATGGACAATAAGTGACTTTCCGGCATACGGTGATCTTTCTGGATGGAGAACTAGTGGGGCTGTAGCTTGTCCATCATGTAATAGTGAGACTTGCTCTTACAGATTGAAAAATGGATCAAAACACTGTTACATGGGCCATCGCAGATTTTTGCCTACTGATCATGAATGGAGATATGACACAAGTAGCTTTGATGAGAAGCTTGAATTAAGGCCTGCACCTAAAGTGTTGTCTGGTGATGAAATTTTGAAGCAATTAGCTGACCCTGAAGATGTTATATCAACTTCAAGTAAGAGTAAAGCTAAGAAGAGAAAGAAAGAGCCATTATGGAGAAAAAAGAGCATCTTTTTTGAACTTCCATATTGGAGTAGTCTTCCATTACGTCATAATTTAGATGTTATGCATATCGAGAAAAACGTATGTGAAGCTTTACTGGGGACGTTGCTAAATATTGAAGGAAAGAGCAAAGATAACTTTAGTGCACGTCTTGATTTGGAGGAGATGAATATAAGAAAATCATTGCATCTTAAAAGGCGTAGAGATGGAACTATAGAGATGCCAGCAGCTCCTTATACATTATCCTCGCAGCAAAAAAAGGATTTTTGTTATTTTTTGACAAGTGTAAAATTTCCTGATGGCTATGCTTCTAATATTTCAAAAAATGCGTTGCTAAAAAAGAAAAAACTCTCTGGTTTAAAAAGCCATGATTTCCATATCATCATGAAGCATTTGTTACCTCTTGCAATACGGAGTTGGCCTATCACCTTATCTGCACCACTTATTGAGTTGAGCACCTTTTTTACCAAGTTATCCTCTAAGGCATTACAAACAGTTGAGCTAGAACAATTACAAAACAAAATTGTCACAATCATGTGTGAACTGGAAAGAATATTTCCACCTTCTTTTTTTGTGATTATGGTGCACTTACCCATACACCTAGCAAGGGAAGCTATCGATGCTGGACCGGTTCCATATCGCTGGATGTACCCTATTGAAAGGTAATATGAATTTCAGTTTGTGTTTTTATAATTATTTAATGTTATTAGTTTATAAGATGCTAATATTTTTTCATTCAATAGGTATCTATGTAAATTGAAAGGGTATGTGCGCAATAAAGGTCATCCTGAGGGTTCAATTACAGAAGGATATCTTTTAGAGGAGTGTTTGACATTTTGTTCAAGATATATGGAGGATATAGAAACGAAATTCACTAAGCAAGATAGAATTTTAGATGATTGTGACGTGTATCCATCTCCAGATTGTTTGTCCACTTTTCTAACAAGAGGCAAAGCACTGGGAAAGGCAACTCCGAAATTAGTTTCAACAAATGAATGGGAAGAGATTCACTTTTTTGTGTTGAACAATTGTGATGAAGTGAAACCGTTTATCGCGTAAGATTTTCAACAATGTTTTCTCTTAAATGATTACGTTGAAGTCTATAATTTAAATTTTACATATTGTTTTGATAGTGATTACCATGGAGAAGTTGCAAATACAACACTGATGACATCAATCCAGAAAAAGAAATTTATTCTGTGGTTTAGAGAGCGAGTAAGACTTTCCACGAAATCAGGCTTGCTTAATTCTTATGTTTTTCTATGTTGATGATGTTGTGAAGCCGAACTGGAAGGTAGTAGTTAAGATCAAACCAAGGAACTTCTACGATGTCGCTGAGCAGCCAAATGGAACTGATAATATGGATGATACATATCCATAAACTGACCTAGAAAATATTTAGACGCCCTTTTGGCTTTTAACATGGATCCTTTTTTTCCATATATCAACATAGTATTGATTATTTCACTTATTTTGTTTTATTCTCTTCAAAATCTATATATTGACTAGAGTTTAAAGTTTCAGTATATTGCCTAAGCATGAGCATTTCAGTTTTAGCATTTATTTGATTATTGTATAGTGTGATATGTTAAAAAGTATTTTTTCTATGGTAATAGCTTTATTATGTTAAGAGTTATTAGAAGAAATGTACATACTAAACAGGTTGAGATGCCGCTGAATGAGTATGAGCAGCAAAGACTCAAGAATATTGAATCTAATAAGTTCAAAATGAAGTCTTTGGGTATCAAACGTATTGTTGCTTCAATGAGTAGTCTGGTTGATAACACCAGCGAAAAGAGAAGAAAACTGAAACCTAAGCAGCGCTTTAAGGAAAATGGTGATTATGTTCTCGGTGATAATTATGAAGCTACAAATTCTGCTGCGAGAAAGGTATTTCCATTATTGATTATGTTAGTTTAGTTATTTTTATTTGTAGTTTTTATGTTGTTAGAAATATCCATCACTCACTTTTATGTTTAACATTCTAGACCCAAAGTGTACCAGTGAAAGAGAGGGCAAAAAAACGAAACTTCATTCCACCAGCGTCACTTGCAAGGATGTTTAGAATGAACAAAAAACAGCAAGCAATAGTATCCACTGCTATTAAAGGTGTTCAACAAGGTTCAATATATACATAAATTATTTATCATCTTTTCATATAATTTACATGTCCATGAATAATAAAGCTCAAATACATGATCTAGGCATTAGTAGTGCAGAACAAGTAGAAGGGGATCAAGACAACATTGCTTCTGATGAGGGTATGCAATTCATTTTTAATTTTCAATCGATGACCACTGCTATTATATTTACTATAAACGAAGTATTTACTATATATTTATTGGAGAGTCAATGTTGTAGATATGGAGGAGCAATATAATACGAACAATGAAGATTCTGATACAGATAAAGGTATACAATATGTAAAAATTAAAGTCATATTATACTTTTTAATTCATTTTTTAGGAAACAATTTATTCCTTGTATTTTCCTGTTTTGGTATCCGAATGTATACTTAGATGAAGAAGAAGATAATACCAGTCTAATTAAGAGGACTAGCTATGACATGGATCTACCTGATGCTAATAACATAGGAGGAACAGTTATTTCTCAAGGTATGACTTTTTCCATTTTTAATTTTGTTGTCAGTTAACTACTTAACTTCATTATGAATAATGGTACTTCTATTCCATTAACATGATTTATGCATTAAAGCGATGTTTGCTCAATGAATTATTTTTATCTTTCGACAGTTCATCGGAAGAAAAAAGTGTACAAAACTAAAACTCCTAGAGGTCCTACGCGGAATCTTTATATGGCTAGAATGAGACCGGGTGAGAGGAAAAGGGTAGATTTTAACATAAAGGGCCAACCTGTCGGTGTGAATAGAGCTAGCTTGGCAAACTATTGTGGTGCCCTTGTCCGAGATCCTCTAAATGCACCCCTTTATAATGTGAAAGACTTTTCAGAAATCCCCAAAACGAATAAAGACAGAATGTGGCAGCTTATTCTGGTATTAAAATTATTTAGTCCACCTATAAAGTATTTCTCTTCTATATATTCATTCCTTTTTGCTATTAAGAACCACTTCATTTTGCAAGGAAAAATTTGATATTGGTCTTGATGATGTTGAAGATGAAGAGCATCGTGAAAAGTTAGAAAAAGAGCGACACAAAACTCTGATGCGATCATTGAATAAGAAATACAGAAATTATAGAGCAAGGTTGAAAAGTACTTATTATGACACAGAAGAAACAGATGCTGAACGATTAAAAAAAGAGAATAAGCCACCTCGTGTTGAGGAAAAAGACTGGAAGTGGCTTGTCCAGTACTTTGGGTCTCCTGACTTTCAGGTAATTAATTTGTGTGCTTGTTTAAACACATATTTCACTCTATGCTACTGTTCTAGCTAAGTATACACTTCACAACTACACTTTTATTGAATGAGGTTGCACTTAACTTTTTAAATTTGTTATATTCTCAGAAAGCACTAACAGTATTATTTTATCAAAACCCACAATCATGGTATTTATTTACCACTCTCACTCTAGACTTTTTCCTCTACCCCTATCAGTAATAATATATTTGGTCTATGTGTAATAAAAAGTTGTTTTATTAATAATGACATATTTTTTTTGTTATAGAAAATGAGTAAACGAAATCGTGATAACCGTTCATACTTAGATGCTGGACACACTGCTGGTTCAAAGAGTTTTGCTCAAGTGGTAGAAGAGATGGTAATAAAAATTTATTTATTGTGATTTATTTTTATATTGTTTATTTATTTATCCGCTAAAACAATACTTCTTTCATATTAGTTTGAAACTGACCATGTAATGCCGGGCATGCTGCAAGTGTACAAGAAGACTCATACTAGACGTGATGAAACCCCGGTGACTAATGTTGCAAAGGAAACTATGGTAAATGAGTATCGTTCACTTATAGTCAATAAATTAATCTGATTTTTATCAGTGTGCTTTAACTTTTATCAGGTCAAATTTGTACATGATTCAAAAAACTCAAACTTGATGATTATTGAAATCTTAGCAGTGTGGTTTCATGATTTTCTGCCTTTTTAAAATAACAAAGTACATATGTTGAATCGTACTGAGTTTATGAAATGATTGCATCACTTAGATACACATTGATGTCATATTATTTAAAGTGTACATGTGCTAATACACATCACTGAAACTATAGGCTTGTTTACTTGTAGGCTAACACACATCACTGAAATCTTGGGTTGAATTGTGCTCGTTCAGAAAGCTAGTTTTACTTTATGCGAGTTTTAGTATGAGAAATGGGAATCGCATTGTACATGTATTGGATTTAGGGGATATAGTAGCAAGGATACATTAAGTTTAAAGCTTTCTGTAACAAATTTTGTATTAAGGATACACACTTAATAGGTATAACCCTTCACAAATATTTTCTTCTTAGTAGAGCCGGCTGTGAGTTTGTTTTTGCACGACTCAGTAGTGCCTTTGTGCAGCTTTCACATTCTCAGGTCATCCTTGCCACGTCTTCAAGACATTGATTTAGAGTCCATTCAGGTTCAATGTTGCATCCACTTCAGATTTTCGTCCAGACGACAACATGATTTTGTGATCCCAGGAACAGCGGGAAGGACTCTCCTTTTCAGCATAGTGAGAGTGTACTTGAAAATGTTATCTGGGGAAACCTTCTGTTTATGTTCAGCCCCTAGGGTAACCATGCTAGGTTCAAGTAGAATTCCTTTGAAGAAAACATTTTTTTCAGCCAAATATTATTAGAAAACCATTCCATACTCGCTCTGCAACCTCAAAAGTCCTTTCTATAGGATTGACTAGCATAATTGTGATGCTAGTTAAGGAAGTGCATAACATAATTCCGATTGTTTTTTAGTCCTATTGGTTTTTAACGGATGATTTATTAAACCTTGTTTGTATGCTAGTTGCAGGGGCAAAGCATTTTAAGTTACACTAGTTGCCTAGTGATTATCAGATTGGTTGTTAAAGTTACACAAGCTGCATAGTGTTGCATACTTATATATATAACTTTTTGTTGGTATACTCATTGCATATAACTTTTTTTGCAGTCACAAATGGAGAAACTTGTAGAGCAACGTGAGATAGGAGAAATTAATATGACTGATGAAGAAATTTATAAAACAGTCAAACGTAAAGGTAAATCTGGGCGTGATCGTGGCATGGGAGTAAGTCCTTCTATTACATCACTGTTGGGATCTATTAGCGAAGGGGAGAAGTTGCGTAAAGAAGCCGAAGAGGCCAAGAAGCAGGCGAGTGAGGCTAAGAAAGAAGCAAATGAAGCTAATGAGAAAAATAAAATGCTGACTAAGGAGGTGAACAATTTTAAAAATGAAGTCCGAGTTATGAAAGGTGTTATGGAAAAATTCTTCAACCTTATGGGCAGTGATTTTTCTAAGTTGATTGCGAAAGAGGTATTGCATCATTTTTTCATTATTTTCTATTAATAACTTTTTAAAGTTACAAATACTCATACAATTAAATTTCAAAATGACAGGTTGGCAAGAAGCATACTAAAGAGAGAAGCGATGATGGTTATGATGATGATGAGCATGATGGTTATGATGATGATGAGCATGATGATGATGACGATGATGATGAGCATGATAGTTATGATGATGATGATGATAATGATGATGATGAGGAGGAGGAGGAGGAACATGATGATTATGAATGATCTCTCTAGGTTAATGTGTTGTCATTAAACTTTTAGATCTATGTTGTTTCATCTTCATTTTGTATTAGATCCAGTTAGTTTTGCTTCACACGGATTTGAGATAGATTAGATTGAACAAATAGTTTATGTAGTTAAGACATTCGGTTATTAAATGAATATTCATATTGATATTCTGTGTTACATTGTCATGGAAGCATTTGTTTATTTGTGGTATTTATGTTGAATGTTAGTGTATTTTTAATATTTTATAAAAGTATGAGGGAATTAGGTATCCATAATTATTATATCGATGCAACGTAGTATAATATCTCTAGTTCAGCACTAAGGCTGCCTCTAAAGGGTTTCCATGATAACATTTAAAGTTGCATCTAATAATTTTTAGAAGCAGTATAAAATAGTGCCTCTAATAATGTATTGAGTCATTAAAACTAGTTGCTTCTAATAGCATTTTGGATCAACATAAAGTGGTGGCCTCTAATGACATTTCGAGTCGACATAACGTGGTGGCCTCTAATGATATTTTGAGGCGAAAGGCTATGGTTGCCTCTAAATGTATCTTTTTGGAAGCACATTCTTGTTGCCTCTAAAGGGTGTTTTTAGAGGCAACCACTGTTTTTTGCGACGGACTATTTGTTGGCAACCACTAAATTGCCTCCAGAAGTCATTAGAGGCTACTTTGCTATTTTTTGAGGCAATTATGGCATGCCTCTACAAATCCGTTTTATTGTAGTGTTACCTTACTTTTCTAGTTTTTATGTTGGTTTTCATATTTTTCCGTCATTTCTCCAACCTTTTCCTCACATTCATCATCTCTATCACTTTTTCTTAAATGTTGTGTTAAATCCTAATGTAGTAAACATTTCAATACATAGGGAGTAGGGTATTAAAATTTAATTTTCGAAGTTAAATATAGGTGTGCATGTTTATCCATGAATTGTCAAAGAAAACTACAAATTACTAAAAACTTTTTTATATACAACGTTCAACATAGACTTGGTTGGTTATTCTTCTTCATCACATATTACGAACTTAACTCAGATAGACATGTTAATTACTATCGAGACCATCACATGCAACTGTCCATTTGTAAAAACAAACCAAGAGTGGAAGATTCCAACCTTTTCCAATGACCTTCCAAGGCTCTTATTAATGGTCATTGTATAGCTAACCGTTAATAGAAATTGTCTACACTTAGAAGTGAGAGGGTGTCTGACGTCTGATGAAGTTAAAATAAGTCGAGGAATAAGAAATTTTTCATATAGTAACCATAACTCGTGTGTCGTTGCACAATCCATATGAATAATATATATTTCTCATAAGCATCATAACCCCCCCCCCCCCCCCCCCCCACTTTCAGCTTTAGCCCATGACTCGGATAACCTGAACAATTATATTTAGAAACTCGGAAGAATGTATCTTGTGTAAGAGGTCACTATCGAAGTTAGATGAAGAAGATGAACCTGATTTTAGATAAGTCTTTAACTCGAATCTATTTTTTACAACATGTTCTTGTTGACCTTGTCAACCTTATCTATGCTTGTAAAAAATAGCCCTTGACTAAATATAAAAAAATTGGATCCTTCCGAGTTAAAAATCATGATAAATGGTTTAGACAATAGATTCAACCATATCAAATTCTATTGGAGCAATCATATCATTCGATTTATCGAAAAGTGATTATCCATCTTGAGTTTTTGTAAAAGCAAAATCCTCGATCCTTAAAATCCAGTTGGCAAAGCATTGAATAGTTAGTCCATCAGGCTCACCAAACATCCTTGAACATCCTTGCAAGCTTCATCTTCTTATAAGGATAGAACTTGGTAATAAGAATTAAAAGATCTACTTATTCACCTTTTGTACAATTAGCTAAAAGCTTATTTTCATTGTATCATAGGGAATTCATAGCTATCTAGTTATTGCTTAACGAAGTCATTAATGAGCAATTTAAAAATCTATAGAATCACAATTTTAATTACCACTGATAGAGTAATTCTAGAGAGATGTGAGAGCTAGAGAGATAAAGTGAGCAATTAATATTTCTCAACCCCCTATAATTAGCCCCTTGGGGTCTATTTATAGGTAAAAATGTGGACTTGGGCCCCCCTAGTCTTGGGCTTAGGAGGCCCATTACAATAATCATGCCTTCTTTGGGCGAATAGGGCCACTCATGGGCTGAGTACAATACTTAGTAAATCAGGTAGGAAAATACATTCTGCCAGGACGAAGTCTGGCCGAGGCGGCGCACTTTGGACGACGCGGTCCATGGACGATGCGATCCATAGACGATGCAGTCTTTAGGAACCCGGGTGATGCCCTTTTTCTTTACCGTTGCGGGCTTCTGGTCGACGCGTGCCACGTGGAAGCCCTGCTGGTGTTTCTTGGGCCGTTGAGTATGTGGGTCATGGGGTCCAGGCCCATATACTCTATCAACCACTTCCTCTAAAACTAATGTACATAACATATACTCCGTATAACATTGTCGTTCATAAGTATTTTTCCGATAGTGAATACAAACCTCTTATGGTACTCTAATGAATTTAATATTATTAACACTCCATGAAAATAGTATTTATGAAATTGTTGTGAAAGTAATAAATGGTCTCAACTTACTCAAAGCAACATAAAACAACATTTACATCATGAATTCCATGAATGAAATTGCATATCAATAATGCAGGTAATAAATTTCAAACGTCCCGAAAATCATAGTCACATCTCAATTTAACATGATTCTAAGCTAGAACCGACTCACGGTCTAATGAGAATCGATTTCTATTGAGTGAGAGAGTCTGTAAAAACTAAAAATAACATCGAATTCTGTTGAGTACGTGTGGAGTCTGTAAAAATAATAGGCGCTCGCTTAATGCCATTCATTAAATCCACATATATAATCAAAACCAGAGTGTGAATTGTACACTGTATATGAATAAACAGGATAATATCTATTGTTATTTCATTCGTCTTCCAAGTTTTCTAATACTCCATTTAATAAGAAAGAGTTAGATTTTACATCTTGATAAACATTAATCATGTAACTTCTCATAAGTTCTACATATAGAGTCTAATGGTAGACACATACCATATTTCATCATCGGGGCACCCTAAACTGTTTTACAAAAAATGGCCAAATGCAAACTTCTTTTTATTAGCAAATTGTCAAAAATATCTCAAATTGTAGAAAGAATATCAATTGATCACAAATATTAAAAACATCTGAATAAAAATTATAATGATACCACAAATAACAACCGTGTATAAAAATCATAGTTTACTTATTTTTATTAGCAAATTTGGAACAAAAGTAGGCCTCATTGAGCTACAGATCCATATTACTGTAATTAATGAAAGAATCAGATCATCTATTTCTTTCATGGCTAAGCGACGTCACATTTTTAATTATTTAGTTCATGTGACATGTTAATATTACTTTTGATTCGTGTCTATATGGTGGCTCAATCAGGATCAAAGGCTTAAATTTGTGAAGACAACCTAGGTGACCTAACTCACGTTTGAAATGAAATATTACTCCCTAGAACATATAAATGAAAGATCGTACTCCCTAGTTGATTTTCTAATATTAAAATTTGTGTTGCTCCATCTATCTGATTTTTACATATGAATACATTGAGTTTTAATTTTTTGTTGACTATGATACTTTGTGCATTAGAATAAAAGATGTTTGATTGTACTTGTGCTACCTGAGAAGATACTTGTTTTTTTCACAGTTGTTGAAGGGAAACATGGAGTTTGTTTCCTTGCATATAATGTGTTTAAGAAATACGTAGTACGGAGTATATTGTTTGTTAAGTTGGTTTTTTCCAGCTTTGAATAACTACACAAAACCCTATCGTTATAAAAAAAAAATGAATTACAAAAGATACCCATTACCCCAAATATTTGAGAATCGTGTCTCCAAATTACTGCACTTTTCCTTGAACAACAACAAATGATTATCTTTGGGAGCCCCATGCAGCCCTTGTTCAAATAGATGTGTGCAGGTGTACCTAATTAAGACTATTTATGGACATGTCTTGTAGCATTAACCCACCCATGTAGTGCACGCGAATGAAGTATCTAAATAAAAATTTGGGTGCAATTATATAAGGTTAAATGTTCGAATAGACTCATCTACTATTTAAAATTCATCACGTGTTCACTTAAAATCAATGTTTTTTTGTCAACCAATGTTAAAACTAAATCCTCCCTATTAATAAATGATGCAGTTTTTTTATAATTAAAATTTATATATTCAGAAACTACAATAAAATCTTTTCAAAATTGCAAACTCATATTAGAATATAATTAAAAATTGAGATCCAAATTAGGTGAATAAAATGAATCCGTTTGACAAAAAAAAATCAATTTTGCAAATCAAATTGAGACAGGGGTAATATCATATAAATCCACTTACTTAAAAAAATGATCCATCCAACCTTATAACTTACTTTTGATTTGTCAGAGCGTTTTTTTTTAATTTGAGAAACATTTTTAAATTAAAAAAAAAACATAGAGAAACAAATGTTAAAATTAAAGAATGTCAAAATGTATATATGTTTGTGATTTTCGGTTTATTTGTATGTTCTTCATTTGTTTAGATTTTCTACATTTTTAATTTTAACTATTTTAAATTTTCATTTATTTTAGCTTTTTTTAAAATTTCGTTTCTAATTTACAACTTTTTGAATTATTTATCTATTTTGACGTTTTACTATTCTTTATATTTCCATCCATTTCCATATGAATTTACAATTAATATACTTTTTTAAAAAGTATAGATTCCTTTAATATTTTTTACAAAAATGGCCATCATAGCAGGTCAAGATGGTTGGTTTGGTTGTGTATTTAGAGTAAACATGCTTATGTGATTTTTTTTAGTATGTGGACTCAAATGATGTATTTGAAATAGCATGACATATTTGAACATTTTCCCATTTCATAACAATAAGAACTTAATAGTAACCCAATTTACTGAACACGGCAAAATAAAATTACACATATGGTGGCATTGCAGTAAACGCTAAAAAAACGAAGTGAATTATAAAAGTTAAATCTAAAACATTAAATAGACGTGCCCATGTAATCATTGTTCTTATAAAACATTATATGCATATTATAAAAATATGATATCATCTACTTAAAATGAAACCATACACATACATTACCTTTTTATTATTATGATTCATTTAAGTAAATTCTCAATGCAAT